GCCGTCCCTTCTAATAGTATTATACTAATTTATTAAGGCTGTCTTGTCTGTGAGTTCACTTCTGACGCTGTTGCCTAAGCGTCCTCTACATGGAGATAGAGAGGGTGTGGGAGAATCCCATCCTGGACCCTCTTCCCAGAGAATCCCCACATTCCACCCCAGCTGCCACACCTGTGGGCCCCGGATGAGTTCTGTACTGTCCTTTACCCTGGAGCAGTCACCCCCTTGCAGTAAATGAACCAAAGGACTTGGTGTACTCGGGCTCGGCTGCAGTTCTACCTAACTCAACCTAAGTGAACTCTTTAGCCACAGTTGACCCTCCTCCTTCCCAAACAAGGCCACAGTCACAGCTGGAGCAGCCAGACCCCCAGATCAAGGGAGAGTGGCAGCAGGGGTCAGGCTAAGGGAAAAAAAAGATCAAGCCATTCCTCCCACTGAGTGCCAATCCTCCCTGCCTGCCCCTAAGCTGCTCTTCCTCAGCACAGCTCGACCTGTCGCTTTTAATGGAGGTCTAGGCTGTCGTGGCAGAGACCCAAGCCTTCTGTCTGCAAATAATGACGTCAGTCATTTACAGGCGACTGAGCCAGCCACCCAAACCAGTAGGAATTTGTCAGCCAGGTACTGAGGGGATGTGATTGTTCCCTTTAGTGGCATGCCACTGATGTAGAAAGAGTGCCATGATGGTTCAGATTCATGGTAGCAAGGACATTTAGGGCTGTCTCCAATAGGGGCTTTCACATTATCCTTAAGGTCTTGAACAGACATCCTCTCCATTGTCATTTTGACTTTTAAGCGGTGTGGTTGAGGTGAGTGGGCACTTTCCTATCGGTGTCCTGGTAGGATCTCATAGGCAGGGATAGTCTAGAAGTCTATGAGCTAGAGGGACCTTAAGGCTCCCTTTTGTGGTGTGAGCCCCCTACTAGCTAATTTGGGGGACTGGATATGGAAAAGGGGACTCGGAGCAGGCACCTGAGGCTCCGCTCCACATTTGTGGGAGGCCCTGCCATGGCTTCCTGCCACTTCTAAAACTTGAGCTCAATTGCTTCTTCTGGGCAGGCCTTTCCTCCCTGAAAAGCTCCTGTTGGCTCACATTTGCCCACACTGCTATCTTTGCCAGTAGCCATAGCAGTAGGCTTCATTGGGATATCTGCCTTAGTGTTGGCCTGTTACCTGGCCAGGGCCAAGCCCAGCTGGGATGTCAGTAATGTTTTGGAACTTGAAGGTTGGAGTCAGATGAGTCTGAAGACCCCATGGTTTGCAAGTGTGCATGGCAATGACAAAGTAGAGTGGAAAGCAGCAGGGCTTGTTGAGTATTGGTCTGTTGGCAGAACGGGGCCCAGAAGGATGAGTGTTAAGAGCTTGTCTTCTGGGAAGGTAGAGTTGCTGGAAGCCATCACTTTATCATTTGCTTGACCCCAGCTGTTAGCATCTACCTAGAGCCCTCACCTCCATCCTGAAGACGCTCAGGTCATCTCACAATGCCTTTCTCTGGGTTTCCTCCCCCAGCAGTGATGCAGATAAAATGATATTGTGAGAATTTTAGTCACTCGATTGCTTGAATAGCCTCTTGTCATGTCTAGCAGAGTTAGAAGGACTGGACAGTTTTTCAGACTTCTGCAGGAAGGCAAGCTCTTCCTATGCTATGCAAATCCCATTTTCACCAGAAATCCAGGCCATGAAACTTCCCATTTCTCTGTCCCAGTATCTCAGGAGTGTAGTATTTGTGACCAGGTGACTCCACCCGGGCACGTACAAGCAAGCTGAGAGGGAACTGAGTCATGATGGACACCCTTGTGGAGGTCCATTGGTCAAGGGACAGGGGATGTGGAGTCATGAGACCATCACCCTCTCCTAGACCATAGGGTGGCCCTTTGAGATTCCATCATGACTTCCTTGAAGTCAAACTAATGTCTAATGTGGAGGTGTCTGCCGGTTTTCATTGGTGTTTTTTCTAATGCAATAAACATTCCTGCCTGCTGCTGTGGTGTGTTGCTTGAATCCCAGCACAAAGCAACTCCAAGGCTTCCCCGTGTGTCTCGTGTCTCCCTCTGAGTCCAGGCATGCTGCCTTTGCTGAGTTGGAAGGCTTGTGGAGGCACGAGGGTAGTAAAGAAAGGCAGGCGTGTGTGTCCATGAGGTTAAAGCTACCTTTAGGCTATTTTAGCCTGGCCTTGACTACATAGTGAGACCCTGTCTCCAGAATAACTGTGTGTGTGCCCCAGGTCTGCTTGCTGCTGGTGACAGAGTAGCTTCACATTCTGAGATGGTCCTCCAGGACCTGACCAATGGGAGATGGTGCAAGAATTTTCCCCGAGGGGAGACAAAGCAAGGTCTAACCCCCTCCTCCTAAGGTCCCAGTGACTAATCAAAGGTCCATTCTACCACAGGTCACTCTGGAAACTGAGTTTATTAGGCTGCTTATGGAGCTGTAAGTGGGGAGTTACAGAAAAAAGGGTAATAGCCCTAAACACACACACACGCTCCCAGTGTGTGTGATGGCTCTTCCATCACGGCATAGACTGAAAAGCCCCTTCTCATTTTTTTCCAGCCTGCCTACTCTGGAGACACCCCCCCTCCCCCCCAGGCCACGTGCGGTGAGGGCGGAATTGCATACAGCTAGCTGGGAAGAGTGAATACTCCGGAGGGGTCCAGCGGCCCCTCCCCAGCCCCCTATGAGGAAATGTGAACAGGGAACACGTGCAGGTGTGAAAGTGGCCACGGTTCGGCTCCGAGGATAGTGCTGCTTCGCAAGGGGCACCTGGCTGCAGGAATTAGCAAGCGTTTGCCTCTAATTCATCTCCGGCCCTGAGCGAGCGCTATGGTTGCCGGTGAGCTTCCCTAGTACTTCAGCTGCGCAGCCTGGCAGGCTGTGTGCACAGTCCAGCGGGTAAGACTTTCCCAACGACAGACCAGGGGTGGGAGCTGGACACGTTACACAAAAGGAAACAAGGGCAGAGGAACCTCCAGGTGGCAAGGCCATCGTTGAATCTGGGCCATATTCTCATACATCATCACTGAGGCATGGAGTCTCTCCAGTGTGCTGGTTTCCACAGAGCAGAGTGCATATGGTTTCACCTGATAATACCTGCTTCCTAAGAACACACTAGGCAGGAATCCTGGAGCTCCCTACTCAGGTAACAGCCCACGCTACCCACCTTGTAGAGTAGGGCACTGTGCCCAGTGCTTGGCAATCATCACATGCTCAGTAAACTTTAGGTTACCGAGATAGGCCAATGGCTGGATTTCCTGAAATCAGTGCCATGCACGAGCCAGTCCTCTGCTGAGGTGTAGAGCCACCTGCTTCTGGAGGAAAAATGACAGAAAGCAGGGGTTTACCCTCTTAGACTTTGAGACACACGCCAGCCAATCTGGGGTAAATCCATTCAACCTTAGTGTCTTCTTTGAACTCCAGACCCAAGACCCTTCACCCTCTAGTCATTTCCCCGAGAGCCACCAGCAAGAAGTGCTGGGCTTGATGCTCATGGGCAGCAGCCAAGGTGAGGCCTCAGTCAGGAATCATACTCTGGAGTAAAGCAGGGGACAAACAGGTGACAGGAGAAGCTAGATGACATCAGATGACAACACTGTGCGAGGGAGGGGGGTGTGTTAGGAGGTTGAAGAAGCTTCTCTCAGGAAGGGGTATCTACCCGAAACCTAGATAACAGCACAGACAGAGTGGGAGTTCATTCCAGGCAGCTGAACCAGCCAGTGAGAATACCAGAGGAGCTGAAAAGGGGAGGGCCACCGTGGCTGAGCAGGGAGTAGGCAGCAGTGTGGGGCAGGGCCTTTCAGGTCACGGCAATCATGGAGATAAGCTCCGAGGAGTTGCATGTAGACTGGTGGGAGGTGACGGAGCAGGGGCAGCAGGAACTTGGGTGAGGAAGATGGTGCTATGTGGCGAGAGGTCAGTGTTTAGTGTTCGGTCCCTGTGTGATCTATAGAAAACACTAGCTGAAGCTGGACATGGTGGCACACGCCTTTAATCCCAGAGCCGAAGCGGGCAGATCTCTGTGAATTGGAGGCCAGCCTGGTCTACAAGTTGAGTCCAGGACAGCCAAGGCTACACAGAGAAACCCTGTCTCAAAAAACCAAAGAAATAAGAAAAAAAAAAAAAAAAACAGTACAAATGCACATAAGAGGTCCCTCTGAAACAAAGACCAGCTATGGATCCACAGGCTGTTATGCTTCTGTGAGCCTCCCTAAGCCTGCCTCCCTAAGCCCGACTTTTAAGAGCTATGCTTCAGTTTTTCAGGGTTTTTTTCAAGACAAAATCTGTGTCAGGTATGATAGCACACGCCTTGCTCATAATCCCAACACTTGGAAGGCTGAGGCAGAAAAATTGCAACAAATTTGAGACTGGCCTGGACTACAGAACAAGGCCATGTTTAAATAAGTAAATAAAAACTAACTATAGTAGAGTTTAACGACAATAATGCTCTGGAAAAAGAAAATGTAAGCGTGCTAGCTAGAACAGGCAAAGAACCCAGCAGGGATCTGTCACACCAGAAAACCCACTGCTGAGCCTGGGGACAAATCATCGCCCTCTTTCCAGGGAAAGGTTTTTACCAAGGTGAGAAGTATGAACACCAGGCGGCGCTATTGGACCTGCACAGGCCTCAGGCAAACTCCAAGGCTAGCCGGCTCCCACTCATTGATGCAAACGGTGGTCCCTGTTACTCGGTGGTTTTAAAGCCTCCATGCCTCAGTTCCCATCTGCTCCAAGCTGGAGCCCCCGTCCTCACTCCTCACTAAAGGCCAGCATACATAAGGCCAAGCTCACCTCTGTGCGGAGGGTGCCCCTCCCCCACACTTCTACCAGCCCACCTCCCTGGGCATCAGCTGAATGACAAGGACTAAGGTTGGACTGGGTAGGCCATTTAAACAGACAAACACCCTCCGGGGCCACTGAGGTGCTTGACGAGACCCTGCTGCGAGGTGCTTCATAACCCGAGACCAGAATTCATCCCCAGAACCTACTGTAAAGCTGGAATTCCACAAAGTTGTCCTCTGACTTCCATGTGGGCCCCGTGACTCGTGCACCCTCACACACAGCATATACAACAACAATAAATACAGATGTAAAGAAATGCAAAGACAAAACCCCTCTGGTCTGGATTCCTATGGCTTTACATTGAACTTCTGACACCAGGACATTGGTCAGGGCTTTCCCTTCTCTAGGCGTAATGCTCATCTGAGGAAGACAAAATGAATCAGTTGTCTCTGAGATCTGACTGGTCCAGCAGTTCTCCAGACCAGGCCTGGGCTGTGACTCGTTCCTATGCTCCATCCAGTACTCCAAGACTGCACTTCGATTTGTAGCGAGCTTTCTTGTCCCAGCTGGCTGAAGAAGTCCCAAGGGGACCAGAGACAACCCAGCAACAGCCTCTGCGCCAGCAAACACCATCTGAGCATGAGCCCTTGGTCCTTGTTTAAATTTAGTGGATTGCGCTATTGGGAGGCAACATAAACACCGTACATTTTGAAAGGAGAAATACCCCAAAAGGCCTGCTCCATTGGTTCCCAGCTGGTCTTGTAAAGAGCCTCTCTGTAAGTCCATGTAAGCCTAAGCGCATGGCTTCCCTATTGACAGCTTCTTCAAAGAGAAACTTGGGGGCTGGAGAGATGGCTCAGTGGTTAAAGGCACCGTCCACTCTTACAGAGGATCTGGGTGGTTAAAGGCACCGTCCACTCTTACAGAGGATCTGGGTTCAGTTCCCAGCACCCACCTGGCAGCTCAGAACTGTCTGTAACTCCAGTTCCATGTGATCCGACACCTCACACAGACATACATTCAGGCAAAACATCAAATGCACATGAAATAAAAAATAATTAAGAAAAAAAAGGAACTGACTTGAAAGATCTACCTGTCCGAGGTCACCAGGTCCTCATGTACTGTCAGCCTCAATTCCTTTAGGCCTCAATGTCTACCCTTAAAGGTCACACTCCAGGTAGAGAAAAAGGAGGTTGGTGGCCCCTAAATTATTTCAAAAGATTGTTTTGGGGCTGGAGAGATGGCTCAGTGAGTCAGAGCACTTGTGTTTGCAGAGGACCCAGGACCAAGCATTAATATGGTGGCTCAAAGCGACCTTCAGTTTTAGGGGATCGGAAGCCCCTTCTGACTCCCA